TTTCGACACTGATCTAAATAGTGGCATGGAGCATTTACCAGACAATTGTAAACAAATAATTTCTTATTATACCCAAAGAAGACCTGAAAGCAAAGTTCAAGAAATGAGACGTAGTCAATCAAAACATAGCTTAGTAAGATTGATCATTTTCCGAAAATTGTTACACACAGTGATAAAAAATTATGAGATTTTTATAATTTTCATCACTGTATGTAACAATTTTCAGAAAATGATCAATCTCACTAAGCTACGTTTTGATTGATGATGCTCCAAATTGCCTAACAATTTGATTTATTTAATAGCGAAAAACAAAAATAGTGAGAAAACTTCGGCTTTGCGTTACCGGAAATCAAGCATTGAACAGAAGCTGGCTTACATTATGAAGACTTCCATTATCAGCATACTGAGAGACCATCAAGTAATCTTTTGTTTCTGTGTTTTGAGTTATTTCATATCTTGCGAGACTACTATAATTTAATTTATATGTTATAAGACTTTTAAACTTAAAGTTTAACCAATGAATTAGCTCAATAAACTATTAGATAAATTATTAAAGTAATAAATTAACTTACTTCTTTTGTTTTTCTCAGAGCTGGCCAACATCTTGAGTGCAACAATGCTGGATAGCATATGTGCTCTTTTGTAAATATAACTAACTTTTCGTATGCCATCCAACCAGGTTGCTGAATATACGAAACCAAATCCTCTTCACCAATTTTTTTAACATCGGATAATTTATTAAATGGAATCCACTCAATCACATCTTCATATTTCCAGGCTCTAAATTGGAATACTTTCAGGCAATCAAGCAGCGACAAATACATGTTGCTAGATCTTTGTTGTGTCGAATATCATATGAAGAATATCTAGTAAAAACTTCTGACATAATTATTCTAAAAAGAATAAACATCTGATTTTTGAGTATTGCACTTCTTTTAAATATCAAGTTTTAAAATATGATTTTAGAGAAAAATAAAGTGAAAGATATTTAAATTAAACTTTCTGCTTACCCTAGAATATTCAGCTTCAGTGCTGTCTAATGGTATTAAATCTAAATAATGTGCAATGAATTTATCTGCTAACACAGAAGTGTTTGGTTCAAATTCTACCATATCAATAGCTGCTTTTCAATAAAATAAATATAATCAATATAATAAGCTTAGCATACTCTGATAATACATTTTACCTATAGTAGCTATTTCAGAAAGCATTATGCGTCTCAGAGCATTTGTCATGCTGAAATGTGCAAGATATTAGATTTAAACTTCTTACTCATAGCTAAATCATAAATAATACCTCAGACCCACGTTTGTAAGTATAAATTTAACTTTTTCTGTGGTGAGCTCTTGGATCTTTAGCTCGGGTTTAACCATTTGTGTACAGTACTTCTGGAGCAATATATGGAAAAAGTCCTTTTGAATTTGAGTCTTGTGATACTGGCTTATATAAACCAAAATCGCAATATAAGAACTAAACATTTTGATTAACTATATTGCTGGAATAAAAATCTTTATAGGCTTTGTGAGTATTAAGCCCATCAGCTATGTAATATAAGATTGCTACTTTAGAAGCCCAATCTATTTCACCATATTTACTAACTAACAATTTTAAAACTTCCTTGCTTTGTGTACTTCATAACTATCCTATAGTTGCTATCTTTTGGGCTCTTGGTTATTCCATAAATTGCAATTGCAGAATCGCCCTCTATTGAAAAAGAGCAAAGAATTTAATTAGTACAATTTAAAGCTTTAGCAGAATCTTATCTTGAATACAAGGAGGTATTACCACGTCATTAGTTGCTTGGGTCAATAGAAAAGGCATTGAGTTTGGAAGCAAAAAAAAAGCTTAATAATAATTAACTTATAGATTTGTTATAATATATACCGTATTACCATATTACTTGCCTTAATTTGCTCTCTAAGCAAAGTTTTCGGGTATACTGATCTATACTGATCTTTCTTTACACAAAATATATGAAGAGTTAAAGAACGTTATTATGTAATTTAATAAAAGTTTATTATGTAAAACCATAAGTTGCCAATTAATGATGTAGTTTTTCATAGTAAGGGTTACTTTAAAAATTTTTTTTATATTGTATAACCCAGTGATCTTCAAGCCAATCAAATTGAATGTCCACCATGCTCCTCTTTCTCATAGACAGACATTCGTATAATTGGCTGTTTAAATCAATTTAATTTTGCATTATTTATACAGTTTTTTAAAAAAAGAAAACTATGAAAAATAAACAAAAAAGAAATATATAGAAAGTTTTATTAGGGTCTACTATTAAAAATAATCAAAATTCTTTTTAATAGCGGAGTCCTACAACCCTAATAAAACTTTCTATATCCTTCTTTTTTGTTCATTCTTCATAGTTTTCTTTTTTTTAAAAAGTACTTTAAACTATATAAATAATGTAAAATTAAATTGCCAATTATATGAATATCTACCTATAAGACTCTTCCCAAAGCTAATTGCTATGGAACGATTGACTCATTGTTTTTACCTTTGACAGCGTACTCCACATACTCCAAATGATTTTATTGTTTTTTTTTGCAAATAGCCGATTACTTTAAATTTGCCAATCCAATACAGCTCAGAAATTGACAATTCATATTTTTTTTTACAGCATTGTGAGTTATGTATGTTATGCATTTATAATCTATAATACAAAAATGCAGATGTTTAGTCAATTTCACTTGAATTACACTTGAATCTTATAATAACTTTTTAATTATTATTTGTTTATATTGTATTTTTTTGCACAGCTAGATGCTTACATTGCCCTTTTTTTCTATTGTTTTGTACTATACTTCATCTTGAACACATGCTAATATTGTCAGAAACATATATTTTTTTTTCTCTGCCAAAAATTTTTTATAATACAGTATAAGGCATGAATAACTTTCATAACCTAGCTGGGTCTATTTCTAAAAGTTTAACAATACGAAATAGCTTCCATAAAAAGCTTGAACTTTTGCATGTCTGTCTGTGACGCTCAACCCTTTTTCTACATCATATTCAAAGAGAGTTTAATTATAAATCAGGCTGAAATATATGTAGCCACTTGATGACTTTAATAACAGACAAATAATACAGTAATACTATAACGCTTGAATTCTTTGTATAGATTCATTTGGTACATATACAGAAACTCTAGCACTAATAAGAATAAAAACGATTAAGAATCAATATTAGCAAAATATTTTCGTTAATGGAAATGTATAAAATATTAAAATATATTTATTGTGTATTCACCCTAACCTACAGTAATAAAACTCAGTGTTTAAAATTTGACCTGATGCTAATTTTAAAAAAAGTTTAAATCTGGTTTAATATCTAGGTTGATAATACAATTAAACCTGCAACATGGTCACATTGTAGCAGCATTGCTTTTTTTAGCTGCCCGATACGAAAGTATTGGAGCAGCATTTTGTTCCAAATCAGTTACGGGGTATTTTAGGATTGGGTAGTATGTATGATTGATCGACTGATTTATGCAAGTGACTTATTGTGTGGTTCTGTAGTCTCTTGCATTATTATGATTTATGTTTGATCATTGATTCATTGTTTGATTTATGTCATAATGACATAGTAATCGTTAGATCGTATTTAAGGGAAATTGGGTTTTTTCTCAGGAAGGGTAAGTTCTGTTTTTTTTGCTAACCCAACTTTGTCTAGTTTTTTTGTGCTTACCTTATACACATATTACTACTATTGTTTTTTATTAGACTTTTTTATTCAAATAAAAATAAAGAATAAAAATAGTAGTTGTATAACTCAAAATTTGAAAAAAGAAAAAGAAAAAATTGGGTTTCTGGTTTTCGTTTATTGTCTTTGTCTGTTACTATATTGCCATCTAATAAGGAGTCAGATCCGGTGGTTTCAAACGATATGCCAACTCTGCCGGACATGTCTCAGGTGGCTTTAGAGTCAAATTTGGAGCATCTATTATTGGAGACATTGAGATTTGTTTGTAAGGTTTCGGGTCTATCAGACTTGGGCTCTAAAAAGGAGGTCGTGGAAAGACTAATTAAGAAAGGAAAGTTTGTTTGAGTCCAGATACGTCTATTAATTTATCTGGGATTTTTGGAAAAGGAAAGGAAGGACAGCCACAGCAGTTTGAGAACCAGAGCAAAGGTTTTTTGAAGGAACTGAACATGCTTCACTGGTCTAGTGATAGATTCCAGCAATTTAGATTAGGTGTTTAAAGACCTCTAGGCGCCTTCAAAAAGCAGGCTTTGTTTGGTTTAGGCCCGACTCTGAGTGGGCCTTGGGATAATGGAGCTTTGAATTGGGGTATGGATTTGGGTGCTTCGACGTTGAATGATGTGGGGCGTAAAGATATGTGGGAGAAACGTGGGCTGACAAAACAGTGAAATCAGTGGGAATACAACAAATAGTATAAGACCAGAGTATTGTTGGATAAGGTATTAGTTTCCAGAGATATAACCTATGTGCGTTTGGCAAGACAAGTGGTTATGGAGAGGGCATATATGGTAAGAGTGGCAGATGAAGACAGTTGGGAGATTGCTTCTAAGATGACAACTACGGACATGTCAGACCCAATGTCTGAAATTTTAGGTAATAAATGAGAAAGAGCTAGATTGGCCAGCAGCATTTTTTGAAGCCTAAAAAGCCAAAATCTCCGTTCTACTTTCAGTTTGGGCAGTTTCTGGTACAGACTTCTGCTTTTCAAATAGGCAGTTTTCCTACAGTGCAGTTTTCGCAGGTGCAGCCTTTTGTTTAACAACCAGGATTTCATTAGCAATTTACGAACCAACCAATGGGTCTACAGGTTCCGTTTAGAGATCCTTTGGCTCTTCCTACCCAAGCTGTACAAGCAGCTCTACAATTTTTTCAAGGACAGCATTAGCAAGGTTTCAACCCAAATGTTGCCCTATCATCTCCAAGATAGCAACAGCCTTTTTCTCTGTCCCTATATTGGGCGAGAAAAGGTAATAAGGGCAAGTGAACTAAAGGAAAAGAGGTGGTTTGTTACTTATGTGAAGGAAAGGTGCATTTTGCCAACGAGTGCAGCTCTAGAAAGCATCTCAGTTTGCTCTTTCGTAATGACGATGCACAATTAGGGATTAGTTGACCATGCTCGGGAGGTTGATGGAGTTGGGAGTAAGGAAGTTACAGTGTGTAATAGGAAGCATTTACAACTGGGTAGCTATAGGGTATTGGGAGAAGGTTATAAGGCCATCTCAGTTGGTGTTGAGATGGCTGAAAGAGGGAGTTCTGTTGTTTCCAAGAAATCTAATGTGTTTGGTAACCAGTCCAGCTCCAAGATTCTATCGGTTTTTGGAAGAAAAGATGCTTTGGTTGAGAGAGGAGTTGGAGAGATTGGAGATAGCAGGAGCTATTGTGAAACTGGGCAAAGGAACTGTTCATCTAGTAGAGCTTCTAGAAATAAGCCCTGTGTTTTTAGTTCCAAAGCAGGGCCCCAAAAGTTCTGTTTAGTAATCGATTTGCAAAGGTTGAATCAATCTTTGCCCCAGAAGTCTTTTCGTTTCGAGGGCTTAGGTGGCCTGTTGTGGTCAATAGGAAGAAATTAGTGGTTAATTTCTTTTGATCTGAAGGATGGTTACCACCATGTATTAATGAACATCGAAGCACAAAAAATGTTGGGATTTGTCATGGAAAAAACATAGTATCATTACAGGGTGTTGCCGTTTGGCCTTAGCCAGGCCCTCTGGGTTTTTTTGAAAATAATGAGAGCCCTGATTGGTAAATGGTGGGCCCAAGGAGTTTATTGTAGAAGCCATTTGGATGATGTGTGGGTTGTCTATCCAACAGAGAAGGGTTTGTTGGAGATAAGGGACAGTATTATAGAAGTGAATTTGGCGAGTTGCGGTTGGGTTCAGGCCAGAGACAAGAGTTGTTGGGACCCAACACAAAGGTTAAAGTTTTGCGGATGCTAGTGAACACATTGAATAGCTTGGTGGTAGCTCTGGAGGAAAAGATAGCTTTAGCTATTTCGAATTTGGAGAGAATTTTGAGAGCACCAGTGGTATTTGCAAGAAACTTGGCATCAGTGGCAGGAAAGATTGTGAGTTTAGGAAGAGCATTTCTGCCAAGTCAGGTAAAGTATATAGAATTTTACAAGCAATGGGACAACAGTGTTCAACTTTCAGCACAAGCAATCGAGGATGTGTATTGGTTAGTAAAAAACCTGGGAAAATGGAATGGCCAGCCGGCCTGGAAGCTCTCACAAGTAAGGTCGGTATATGTCAATGCATCGATGAAGGGTTGGTGTGATATTTTTCAGGAGTACAAGGATTTGGGAAGTTGAGTACAACCACATGCCCCAAATGTTATAGCCCAGTTAGAGGCGTTGGCTGTATTTCGAGTTCTCTAGTTGTTCAGAGATTTGTTGAAAGGGACCTGGGTTACTCTGTTTATAAACAACAGGGTAGCGTTGAGGATAGGGGCCCTACAGACTGGCAGAAAGATATTACGAGAGAGATTTGGGAGATGTGTATAGAAGCCGATATCGGGATCTTCAATACAAGATGGATTCCAAGCAAGTTAAATCCGGCAGATTTTTTAACCAAGGTTTTGGACTAGGGGGATTGGATGTTGAACTCAGATGTGGCAGCCCGTTTAAAGTGAGTTTGGAGAAAATTTGAGGTAGACAGATTTGTGAGTTACCTGAATACAAAGGCCCGGAGATTCAACAGCCTGTATTTCTTTCTTGGGACAGAGACTGTGAATTGTTTTACCCAAGATTGGGCCAAAGTGAGGAATTATGTTTGTCCTCTGTTTAGCTTGATTCACAGGGCCCTGTGTCATGCCAAGGAGTGTGGGGCGTTAATAATAATTATAGTTCCGTTTTGGGTCTCGGCTCCATGGTGGCCAATAATAGTAAATTCACAGAGAAAAGAGATCAATTTACTCCTGGCCAACCAGATAATTTGCCTGGGACCATCGGGAAATTTGGAGCCTTGCAGAAATGACTAATGGGCTTTGAAGGCAGTGCTCCTGGATTGGTCGAAAAATTGTTAAATAGGGCCAAGGATCTAATGAGCAATTATATTTGTACCGCATATAGAATGTGTCTAGAAAAGGCACAAGAAGTGTTTGTGGGTTTTGCTTTGTGGCTGGAGTTGCCTACATACCAGCTTCAAATGAGCTCTTGGCGGCTTTTCTTGCTTAGTTGGAGCTATCCAAGAGAGTATCGGAGATGCCAATTTGTTTGGCGGCAATAGCTAGAAAGCACAAATTAAGGGGCTTGGTAAACCCAATGAAGGGTAGTCAAATACAGATGATTGTTGAAGGTATCAAAAGAGTGGCCTCTCAAGGAAAGGAAAGGGCTAAATGGTCCCGAGACCCGTTATCGATTTTGGTAGTAAGGAAGTATGTTAAATATCTTCAACCTGGGGCAAATATAGTGTTATAGGCTCAGAATTTGGCTTTGGTAGCTTTAGGATTAAGAGTTATGCATAGACCTGTTGAGTTGTGCAATTTAAGGAAGTTGGATGTCATAGAGAGAGATGAGAAATTATGGATAAGGATTGCTAGGTCAAAAACGGACCAGTTGGGAAAAGGAAAGTTCATTTCGATTGAGAGGATAGTGAGTGAGGTATGCCCGATTAGGTTGTTAAATTGGTACTTAAGGCTGAGACCAGGAACTTTGCCAGATAAGCTGTTGTTTTTGTCCAAAAATGGCAGAAAATTGTTGGTTGTAGCAGTTTCGGCAATAGTTAGGTGTTTTGCAGGAAATGCTGGGCTGCAGGGTAAATACACAGTGTATAGCCTAAGAATTGGGGTGCTATGGCAGCTATGAAGGGTGGTATGACTTTAGAGCAAATTCAGTCTATTGGTGGTTGGATGTCTGGTACAGTCCAGCTGTATTTGAGAGCAGTTGGTACCGCTAAGCTAGGGGTTTCAAAAATTATGGGTTTTGTTTAGAAATAGAATTCTTATATATGATAGATGAACCTCATTTTGTAACGATGCTCGGCAAGGACCCATAATTGATTTTCATTTGATTTCATTTGATTTCTTTGTTTTCTTAATCATTTTTCGATTGTTTTTCAATTGTTTTTTTGATTGTTTTTTTGATTTGTTTCCATTCATCTACCTTTTGTAACACCCTCTCAAATGAGGGACAAATTTAGCTGCCCGATATGAAAGTATCAGAGCAGCATTTTGTCCCGAAGCAGTTACGGGGGTATTTTAGAATCGGGTAGTATGTATGATTGATCGACCGATTCATGCAAGTGGTTTATTGTATGGTTCTGTAGTCTCTTGCATTATTATGATTTATGTTTGATTGTTGATTCATTGTTTGATTTATGTCATAATGACATAGTTTTTTGATTAGTAATCATTAGATCGTATTTAAGAGAAATTGGGTTTTTTCCCAGGAAGGGTAAGTTCTGTTTTTTCTGCTAACCCGACTTTGTCTGGTTTTTTTGTCCTCTCCCTTGCCCTCCCTTAGCATTTGTTTATTGAGAATTTACCCTATTGGAATAGGTATTTTATTTGGGAAAGTCATGGCTTGTTAGGTTAACAGCCATTTCATGTTGTTTTATGATTTGTCGAAATAACAATTGTTTGTTTGAGTTTTTGAGGTTATGTTAAGTGGCCTGTCGGGATGACAGTTATGGTTTATTTTGATTTTTGCAACAAAGGTGGCCTGTCAGAACTACAGTCACAGAAGTTTGGTTGCGACAGGGTTTTTTTCCAGTAGGATTCTGTTTTTTTTTGCCTTCCCACCAAAAATTACCCCTATGATAACATGCACAATAGACTATAGCTTAGGCATTTCATATGATACTTTTGAAGTCTGTATTGATGTTTTAGCACATTAGGCACTTTAGCAAAAGGGACAGATAACCCATAATTGATTTTCATTTGATTTCATTTGATTTCTTTGTTTTCTTAATCATTTTTCAATTGTTTTTCAATTGTTTTTTTGATTGTTTTTTCGATTTGTTTCCATTCGTCTACCTTTTGTAACACCCCCTCAAATGAGGGACAAATAGAATATAACAATCTAAATTGATAATATATTTTTTTTAGTATGTATTTAAGCATAGATGTTATTCAATTATCTAATATTTACTATTGCATAATATATTTATTTTACATTATGTTACTAAAACTGGGTGGCAAGACCGCCTACATGTGCTACTGCTAGTTATTGATATAAACGTACAACCCAGGGTTACATTTCGCAACAAACAGTTGTTTAATCATTTCTATACTTTTTAAAAAAATTCTTTAATAAGCAATGCAAATTCATGCCAATGTTTATAACATAATTCAAGATTATTCTAAAAATCCATATAGATACCTATTTTACAATGTTTATATTTTATTTTTTTTAAAAAGAGGTACATCACGCATTTTCTATACAATTATTTAATTCGCAATGTCATTATTTATTTTTTCAATGGTTTGAAATTTGAACAACATTTCGTAATCACAAATTGTCACGGAATTACCTAAACTACCGTGTATTTACTATCAAACTTCACTCGCTTGGCTAATTACGCGATGACTGGAGTATCGTACCAGATACTACCACCACCAATACAATATCACTAAGATACAGTTTATTCACTAAGAAC